CAACCCTGAGCCGGTGAGATTTGAACCGCCGAACTGCCGAACTAGCAGTCAGCTGAAGTGGCCTGCAGTACTGCACTCTACCCACTGCACCACCTTGGCTCATGACATTGGTCACTCCTGTTGAGAGTTGTTTGACCCAACTGGGAATAATTTTGTAGATTTTCACATCTGGATCATTCTCACCTCAAACAGGAGATGTAAATGAATATTAGAACTGAATATATGATAACAGAGTTGGAGGTCTTCTAGTCCAACCCCCTGCTCAAGCAGAAGACCCTGTATCGTTTTAGACAAATGGCTGTTCAGTCTCTTCTTGAAAACCTCCAGTAAGGAGGTTAATCCACCGATTAATTTTTCTCACTGACGGAAATTTCTTCTTAGTTCTAAATTGGATCTCTCCTTGATTAGTTTCAACCCATCCGTTTTTTGTCCTGCACTCGGATGTTTTGAAGAATAGGTCGACCCGCTCTTCTCTATGACAGCTCCTCAAATACTGGAAGACTGCTATCATGTCTCTCATAGTTCTTGTCTTTTTAACTTTTGAAGAGAATAATAAGAGTTGGAAGCAACCTTGGAGGTCTTCTAGTCCAGCCCTCTCCCCAAGCAGGAGACTCTACACCATTCTGGACAAATGGCTGTCCAACCACTTCTTAAAACCCTCCGGTGAAGCACCTGTAACTTCTGATGGTAAGCTTTTCCACGAGTTAATTGTGCTCACTTCTCTTTAGTTCCAGATTGCTTCTCTCCTAGTTTCCATCCATTGTTGCTAGTCGTGCCTTCTTGTTGTAAGTTGTAAGTTGACCCCCCTCTTCTCTGTGACTTCCAAATGTCGGAAGACTGCTATCATGTCACCTCTCGTCCTTCTCTTAGTTAGATTAGATTGCAGTTTCTGCAATCACTCTTCAGAGAACTTAGAAGAAACCAGTAACAAATCTCATAGCCTTTTGGTAGAATAAAATTCACGTGTCCCATTAAAATGTGAGTAAAAAATACGCAGGCGGGCAACCTGCTCCATACATACTGCATATTATTTTTATTTTTCTCTCTTAAATCAGCCCCCTTGAGAATTCTCTGGGGTAGTTAAGGCTAATCTCCTCTTCCATATATATGATAATGCCAGGAAATCGTCTCCCTCTTTCTCTTCCCAAAGTTGCCTCATCTTTCAAGTCCAAATCCCTGTGGTCTTTTTTTCTTTTTTACTTAGCTGCCATTTAGCACAGCCGCATTTATTCCACTCCAGAGATCCTGCATTTGAAATATACTTTGAGATTAAATCCTCCAGAGAGACGGCAAAAGCCTCAAATGGAAAGAGAAAATTAAAACTCTCTCCCCCTTCTTTGTATCCCTCTTTCTCTTTAGCGCCGTAATTAAAAATGAAACAGCCTGTAAAAAAGTTAACGCCGCGAAAGGGGGCCTCAAAACTTCGATAAAATTTCCCCGGTTTTGAGGCTCTGAGGAAAGACAAATTACCTCAGCGACTTTAAAAAAAAAAATCCAACCAGTAATAATGATACTTTCAAAAATTCTGCTGGTACTCCCAGCTCCGCTGAGCAGCTGTTTCTGCTTTTTATTTTAGATCACTGACAGGTAGTTATGGGTTCCCTTTGTGATTTGCTTGGCGTTTTTTTTTTAGTGAACTTTTGAGGATATTCCTCAGAACCAACAAAGAAATTGTGGAAACCTTTCATTGCTCAGATTCACTTTTAAACAATCAATTAAATATCAGCAGGTGTGGAAGTTTTGTTTTAAAGACAGAGATGTAGTTAGGATATTGAATGTAGGAGCGGGAACAGTAAAGTGTACAATGGGCCAGAACATGTAGTTGTAGATGAGTAGTTAGAGAGTGCTGACTCATGCATGAGGCAATCTATGCTTTGATTGGTCGCTGTGAGTACAAAGGGGGCGTTTCCCTCTTTTCTCGCCCTTTTTCTCTTCAGCGCGTTCTGCATACGGTTTTAGATTTACCTCATGATGTTACTGTGTGTTCCACCTAGGCTTCACAAAATCACGAAGCAGACTCCTTGTCCTGACGAAACCCCTTTTTATGAAGCTCATGTGAATTCCTCTCATTCACATCCAGCAAAGTCCCGATCCAAGTCAGGATTCACACACATTCCCTCTCCCTGTGTTTGTGTTGTTTCTATTATATATACACAGCACCTTTGCTAAGGAAAACTGCTTTAATCAGAAAGAAACACATTCCAATTCCATACACGCAATCATGACGTTGGGCAGAAACGGTTCGCTTGGCTGCTCAGGATCATCTCGAGAGCAGCTCTGAAATTACCTGATCGGCAACCGCCCGCGCCAGTTTGTCCATTCTGGAACCGGCTTCTGCTATTTTCTTGGCGGCATTTATGACATCGGAGGTATTCTTCAGTGGTCCTTTGCCCCTAGAAGATACAAGGGGAGAGTCGTTGACTGAATGCTTGGGAACAAAGCAATGGAAATGAATTTGAACGGGAATACGTTATCTGGTCAAGTGCGATCCTTTATTTATTTAGTTTGTCAAACACGTACGAGATAACAGGTTTAAGTATAAACATGGACACAGGAAATGGGGACGAATAAATGGGAACCGTAGGACAGGGACAGAAGGCATGCTGGTGCGCTTATGCACGCCCCCTTTACGGACCTCTTAGGAATGGGNAGCTGTTCTTCTGCCTCACTGATGTCTGACTCCGAAGGCAGCTGATAACTGTCAGACGGCTCTGGCCCCCTCTCTGCCTCCGACACAGAGCCTTCATCAGAGCCTTCCCCAGACTCCAAGACAGGTTCCTCCCAAACCTCCTCACTGTCCGAATCTGCTGCCAGATTCGCTGGCTGCTGGCAGGCCATAACAAGGACTCCTTGTTTTGATTCATTTAGCAACTCTTCGAAATTACAACAGCACTGAAAAAACTGACATGACCAGTCCTTGCACTTACAACTGTCAGTCACGTGATCAAAATTTGGCAACTGGCCTGAATTCATGACAATTGCAGGGTCCTGGAGTCATGTGATCACCATTTGCAAACTTCCCAGCGAGATTCCAATAAGCAAAAGCAATTTGGGAAGCCAGATTCAGTTAATGACTGCATAAGTCACATAATTGCTGCAGAGGATTTCTTGACAACCGCAGCAAAAAATGGTCGTAAAGTCAGGAGCGACTCATTTAACATCCGCCTTGCTTGGCTATGGAAATTCTGGTTCCCAATTGAAGTGGTAAGTTGAGGACTACCTAGGACACGGGTGTGAAACTTGCTGCGTCATGTTGCTGTTACGTGACGTATCGCAATGTTATTTTCCTTTCACAAAGCTGGGGTGGGCGTGGCTTGCACATGATGCATCTCGCCCGCCGGCCACCAGTTTGACACCCTTACCTATCCTGTTTCCCCAAAAACAAGACCTCCCTGGATAAAAAGCCCAATCGGGCTTTTGAGCGCATGCGCTAAAATAAGCCCTCCCCCAAAATATTGCCACACAGCAGCAGCCATGAGGTGACCACGCTCGTCTCCTCCTCCTGCACCTCAAAAACAATAAGACCTCCCCGAAAATAAGGCCAAGCGCTTACTTCGGGGGTCAAAAGAAAATAAGACCCTGTCTTATTTTCGGGGAAACACAGCAGAATAAAGCCAGATGGGCTTCAGTTCAAATCCAGTTGGGCTCTACTACTGATAAAGATAACTGGAAAACATGGAAACATACTTTAGCAATAGCAATAGCAATTAGATTTATATACCGCTTCATAGGGCTTTCAGCCCTCTCTAAGCGGTTTACAGAGTCAGCATATTGCCCCCAACA